ACCGGGGAGGAAGTCGTGAGGAAGAGAGAAACAGAGAGGGGACCGTAGGAAAAAGAGGGACGCTTCCGGCATTAAAAACCGGCCGGCAGGCCGCGGATCCTCTTCAGCCTCTCGTCACAACCGCGGAACGTTTTCCGAACAAGGAAACTCTAATCTATTAAACTTACGCCACGGTTAAACCACTTTACTAGATCCTTTGCTCTACGTCTAATTTCGCATCGACGAGAAAAATTCGACGAATATCAACCGTGTGTAAAAACGAACGTAAGGAACCTGAAATTCGCTATTTTATTACAGATTTTTTCCTACTCACTCTTGGTTAATCGTACGAATCTCCCGGAGATCGATCGTCGTCGATGATTTACCGGTTACGATCGACGACGTTCTTTTAGAATTCTAGATCTGAGGGAGAGAAGTTGAATCGTGCAATTCGTTGGTATCTCTTCGATATTCGGATGCAACTCGTAACGTTTATTTCCGTTTCCTGGCTGACTCGACCTTCGACTATATTCCCCTTGGATCTCGAGGAAGAAAAGGAGAAGAAGAGAAAAAAAGGGGACGTATTACTGAAACACAGCGTGGTACCAACACGTTGACAAGGAACAACTAAACGCTATCGTTAATCAGTTTCCGTCAAGATTTCGAGATTGCCGGTGAACGTCGTTTATTTCTCTGCGGTGCTCAGAGCTCGGTAATCTCTCTCTCTCTCTCTCTCTCTCTCGAGCGGCTCTTCTCTCCTGGTGAAAACGCGCGTATGTACATCGTAGGATGCCGGCACACGGCCGACAGAGCGTGCACTCGCGTGTCCGCGCTCCGCATATCCGCTCCCATGTCCCGGTATAGCTGCTTATATACCGCGGTTAAAAACAATGCGAGGAAACGAGCCATCTTTTCCTGCTGGAGAAGAGGAGCGGAGCTACACCGTACAACGGAACCGCCAACCACGCTACCAAAACTTCTCCAACACGCGAAAAATCCACTCGTCCCACATTTATTAATACCATCCTCTCCTACCTCCTGTCTTCTCTTCTACCTTCTGTTTCTATTCAATCACGCGAACATCCTTCTTCATGGAAAAATCATTCGGGGAATTTGTTGCTCGAAACACTTCGATTAACACATAATAGTCGACGGAAATAGAACTTTAATTGAAGCGAAAAATGATCCTTCTTCGACTCGCCAGAATTCAGCTATCTTTTACTCACGATTAAATGCTTCAGTGCGATTTTTTTTGCAATGGAACTCTTACGTAGAAATTACGCAGCTCTCCCTATTACCGACGTCAGATTCTATATGGCGCAATGTTTTGTTTTCTGGAAGATTCTTTTCGTTAGAGGACTAAAACGTTAATTTCTACGTGGCCGTACTGCAAACGCCGCCGGGTAATTATTAATCGATGCGCGTGGCCCCGGCTCGTTCCAAGAAGAATAGCGCGTGTCCCGGTTAAACTATTTATTCCGATCCTGCTCGTCTAAACAGGACGAGGACAGGAAGACACTCGGCGAGAATCTTCAATTCGCCAACGCCATCATAATCGAGCGGATATACGTATGTACGTATGCGCTCGAACCCGAAGCGAACCAGCTCGCTTCGTAAATATTAAGCGTTCCGCTCCGATACTGTTCCTACTGCAGATCGACGAAAACGTGTTCGCCTCAACTTCAACGTTGAATTAAAATCAAATTCACTTTCTAAAAGGAATCACAGAAATTTCCATCGAACGAACAATCGTCGAAAAAAAAAGAAAAAGGCACAAGGCGAATTTTCGAGTATGATAGAAAATTCGAAAGAAGAATTCTTATTCGGTGCACGATATTCGTGTCTCATCTCTGGCGCAACACGCGCCTTTATAGACCGACGTACAACACAGGGTTACGATTCGAGTCGTACGTCCGTCCGTTCGTCGATCCGTCCACCCACGGTGCTTTTGCTCCGAGTGTGGGCAGTTTCCTGTACGTTGGTCACGTATTCCTTTTTCCAGCCCACACGCGTCCGTGTCTCTGTGTGTTGGCAGAAGAGAGGCCTTCTCAGAGAGAATCTCTACACTGCCGGTAGAGTGTAGCCCGCCAACCCCCCACGATTTCTCCTCACCGTCGTAAAAGAGCGAATGAAAGAGACGAAGAAGAAGAAGAAAAGAAGGAGACGGTAGAGATGGAGAAGGAGGAGAGGAGGAGAAGGAAGAAAGAGAAATGAAGGAGTGAAAAAGAAGAGAAACAGAGAGGGGGAACGGGGGGGGGGCTGTTCCCCTTTCCCCGCCCCGCTGTCTACTCCCTCCTGCATGCCACATGTAAAAGCATACCCGCATTGCCCGTGGAGTGACGGACCGTACTTACGGCTGGCTGCGTGCGTGTGTCGCGTATGCCTGCGATAAAACGTGACGTCACGGGGCCACGTGATCGTACGATACGGTGGGGGCAGCCCATTCATAATCCGAGGAAGGACAGGCTTAAGGCCGTTTCGGACGTTACCTCGAGCCGAACCATCGTAGCTACTTTTTTTCCTTTATCGTGCGAACAGTTGATGCACCGCTGTCGGAACACGCTCTCCGAGAACAATGTCGGACGAATGATAATGCCACGTGAACTCGTGCTACTACGAGCCACGTCAGCTGCCAAACATTTGACCTGCGCCCTTTTTCAACGAGGAAACGGGATTTTTCTATTGGAGATTATCTTTCGTCTCGTTTCAATATGCATCGTACAACGAATGATAATTGAAAAAATTAAAGAATTTCCTTTTTTCTTTTTAAGTAGATATTTGAATCGTGCAAAACGTATCGTTGTTAATTTTTTTGTTTTTCTGAATTGTATATCCGCAATATATTGCCAACTACTTGTTAATGCGTCAAGTAGAGGTACAGTTTGAAAATGCTACTTGGAATGAATATGATTGAACATCGAGCAAAATATACAAGACACCCTGTGGAAGCCTACAAGGCGTGCCCACGGATGCACAACACGGCTGATAGCACGATGGATCACAACTACAAGCACCGTATGCGACCAATGAGTCGTATCCTGCTAAACTGTTAAGAAGGAAGTGGTTCGTTGCTGCTGTTCTCTCTCTTTCTCTCTCCCTTTCCATCTCACCCCTCCCTCTGCACATCTTTTTCCCTCCTGTTCGTTTGCTTTTCAACCTCTCTGCCTGCTTTACCGTCTATCTTTCTGTCGGTCGCGCTGTTTGGCTCCCGTGCTCGCCTAGCTATTTTGCGATTTCGCCATTCATTGGAAATGCTTCACGAAAATAATTCATTGAACAAATTTTAGCGGGCGACAACGTAACAAAATTCCACGAATGTGCAAACTTTTTCGTG